CGCTATTCAAAAGAGACATGAGATAGCGTACCTTTCTCCTCCTCTTGTCGATCGCTCCTTCCCATGGACGAAATCCACCACCACCCTGGTAACCAGTAGTATCGTATTCCTCGATATCCGACTCAATCTGTAACAAATATGTGCTATTGAAAGCTCTGTTCTGATTAGAAAAATCTTTCACTCTACCAACTGCGGTGTAATATCATTTCCAGACTTCTTGAAGGAAGTACTGACTTGGTCGAGTACAAGAAGGCCAACGTATGATTCAGGGTCGGCCGAAACTTTGAATGACACTGATTCACCGGGTTCGACGGACGATTTGTCGATGGTGAGTGTAACCTAAAATTATGAGAACTCCATGCAACCATCAAGGCATAAATATGAAAAATAAAGATCAGCAGATTAGCAGAGAAAGCCTAGCACCAAGAAATACTTCAAAACCGCAGGGATAGGCGGGACCGCACCATAAATGGAGTTGAAGGCACCAGCCGCGATAAGATCCCCGAGGAAAATCTCTCATTTTGGGTTGCCGCAGGTGCGGTGGTGTTATCGTGATTTGAAAGTGGGCAGTAAAAGAGCCATTGCCTTGGCTTGACCGCTGCTTTTCTTATCAACCGCAGCATACGTGACGTCTGCGCCCTCTCGCGTAGACATGCTCCCTCGTATGTATCTCTCCTCGCAGCGCTGTATCCCTCCGTCGTACCACGGTTGACCTCGTAAAAAGGTTCAGCATTCTTTTGACTGATGAAGAGGGCGATGGAGTGCTGGGTTGAAGAGACGTGGGCGTCGAGACGAGACAACAGAGTTGAAGGCGAGGGAGTATGAGGGACGAACGCAACTGCAATTGTTGCGCCACCTTTACACCTCAAAACCCGTCACCAAAACGATAGGCGCTAAGGGGATTTAAATCATCCTCCGCTCAGAAAGATCAGTACCCGCCCACCATTTGAAACCTTATCCATGTCCTAATGTTGACCTGCTTTGCTTTCTCTACTCGGACTTCTTTTCCCTCTCAGCGACTCACATCACCTCTTATCTCGCTCTCTGCTCTTTTACTTCTGAGCAAGAAGTTTCCTATTTTCGGCGCTTCCATTCTCTACTTTATTAGAGTGCAGATTACAAGATGAATTTGAACCTGGGCCTTGCCTTTAAGTTCACAAAAAGGGCACCACTTCTGCAGTTGCGATCTGCTACCTTATTCACTGTAGGAATCACTCAAATGAACTAATTTACAAGAACTGACTTTACCACAAAGATTTCACAATCGCGTCTGTGAATGTCATAGGGATCAGTTTGTGCAAATATCGTTGCCTAAAAAAGGATGTTCCAAAGCGAAACAGTCTTGGAGGAATTCATTTCCAGGGACAAAGGTGTGATAATGGGCGGGGCTATAGGTACTACCGCATACTCTGTTTACGTTGAATGGGTTCAACAGTCTACATGTGTTAGCTCTTCCTCGCCAAAAGTTGCGTCATGTTCATAGCAGCGATTCGAATTTTTAAAATTCTGCTCGAGCTCATTCAGATTTTTATCGAGATAGACGGAATTTTTTGCCTCTTTTTCATTAGTGTAAAACAAAGGGCTCGGGATGCCGATTTCCCGTGAAGTTGGAATCACAATGATTTCGCCACAGACTGCCTTTAACACACATGCGGCTCTTACAAGTGGTCCGCAATACCCCATCAAAAATGAAAACTTTCAAGAGTATTCACATGGCTGCCTACTGTAGTATTGCACACGGTTTTCTATAGATCAACCTCTTCCGCCCAATGTCCTTTACTTTTGTGTTGATATCATAAATCACATTTAGTGCTACTATTGTATTTCCAACTGGTTTTCCTTCACTGACCGTCATTGTTTGAAAATTGTACTTTTTCAGGTTACGACCTTCTATAACTATCCGTTCAACCCGGATTCACCAACTCAGCATGAAGATAAGGAAGTAAAAATCGTTGACTTGGACGCTCATGGAACCACCGTACTAGCATTACAGCCTCCTCTTAATTGTACCAGCGCTCGAATTGAGGTAATTTATTCAGAGCTCACAAGAACTTACGGATCAAAATACCGACGGGATATGGGCATGTTGGGAAGCTTCAAAGCTTTGCATAACTTTCCTTTGAAGGAACCATTGCTACGATCCTATGACTGCCGCCAGTGCGGTACGGTCGGCTGCATTAACTAAATGCTGACTGAGTATAAACGCTATTACGAGACGGGTGCTCGTCAGAGTATCTTGGTTTCGCACGCGTCATACGCAGTATCGGAGCGACCACGCGAAGATGACTCACCATGCCGCCGTGCGCTCGGTGACCTAATTTCCACCTGACCAGCTGACCTGATCAAGATCTCCTGACCCACACCCTTTATTAAAGGAATCTTCCACGGACCATGGACCAGTGGGCGGGACCGGAAGTTTTTGTGACGAAATGCATGGTAGGTACGGATCCACGTGTCGAACGCACGAACGTGAACAGGATTCACTTCAAACCTTCCCATGAACGTGGATCCGTACCTACCATGCATTTCGTCGCAAAACCACTTCCGGTCCCGCCCACTGGTCCATGGTCCGTGGAAGATTCTTTACCATTCGTGACAATGTCAGCCACCGGTGGCTGACAAAGCTCTCACTCGGGACAATGGCATTACTGTGGCTGCAGGGCTTGAAATGGAATTTGGAAAGTTTTCTTCCATGGAAAGAATCTTCATACCCTCGCTCATCTACGCCAGCCCTGGGCAGAGGAAATCTCCCTTCACTCGGAATTTTATTGAAGAAAAATCTCCTGACGCTGCTGCTATTGCGCAATCCTGCGCGGTCGCGAATGGGTTAAAGACAACTTATAGAGCCAAAACAGGACACTTGGCGAGCCAGCATAATAATGCCAAATAGAGTAGCCCCAGAAACTTCTGAAATGAGGAATAAATTTGAACTGGTATTTTGTGTGCAGGATTGCACAACGTATTAGAGTGGAATGTAAGAGTAAGGAATAGTTGGGAAGGATGGGAGCGATCAGACGCCGACGCTGATCTGTTGCTGCCAAAGACGTGGTTTCGAAAAGGACATACAATAAATTACAAAGTTTCTTTCTAGAACTTAGACGACTTAACAGTTCGCATGCATTAGAAAGAGTATCGATTTTACGCGTCGACATTCCGTTTTCTTAAAATTTTAATGCGCAGTCCGTTGCATAGAAGAAGCAGTGTAAGAGCAATAGATTCAAGGATGGAAGAAAAAGATGGGCTAAGTGAGGGGTAGCCTCGTGCGGCCAATAACATGTTTTCAGCTGTCCAAATATGTGGCATTCCCTTTATCGGTAGATTCGAAAGGAGACGAATAGAATGCCACGCCACCCCCCCCCAGCCCCCCACCCCCCCACCCACCCCCCCAACACCCCCAAAAAAATGAAGGTCTGCTATAGATACTCAATTATCTACTTTGAAGGGGCAAGCCGGGATGAATTGGTGTGCAAGAACAGTCAATAATGAAAGTGGGGGTGAAGAGAGAGCTTGAAGTGGAAATGAAAGCAAACTTAACCATCGCAAACACTCGGGTTATATGTTTAAAGCCTCTGTAAGGTCGGTTCGAAGGTTACAAGGGAGAGACGGAAGCGTCCAGAGAAGGCGGAACGCACGTCAAATTATGCCCTACGAGAGGGCACAGATAAGCGGTTGTTGTAGCGAGCGGTCCACTACCCCATCGGCTACCAATCATGGGCATTCGTAAGATCTTTGTACCTTTGTCGCGCTCTACCTGTACCCGTGTCAATGGTGCATCGGTGATCTCACGGAGAGCTCTTTTCTACCTACTGAATTGGACTACTCTATCGGCTTCTCAGAAGCTTGTCTTCAATATTGTACTGCTCCGACGTCTAAAGCTCGATAAATGATGTTTCAACTCTCATAAACCTATTAATCTGTGATCTCTGGTTGTGAAACATTTAGGATACATTATACGAATCTCACATTGTTCTCTACGCATCTATTACCTAGAAATACTATTTTAAGGCTCATTATGATCGCAGTGGCAAGGATAACTTCACAAATGCCGTCATCTACAGCAGCCTTTATGTGGAGGCAGGCAAATCACCGTCAAACTCTTTCCTTCAATTAATCGCCGACAATGAAGGCGCCGTTGACGTTGGCAAAACGCTGTCGTTCTCGGTTAAAGCAACCGAACAGATACCAGTTCTCACTTACCAGGTTTGTCGCAGCTTTTCCCATGTATGATTTGCTTTGTTCAGAAATCGATCAAAAAAAAATTTCATTCAACATTCCAGGTGATGTCCC